GTAAATAAAATACTAATAATGGATGGTTCGACGAATTGTGATCTGATTGCAAATATTTGCAAATATTTGCTCAAGTTCGTTGTCGTGAATTTGGACACTTTTATCGTCTCGCGTAGTGTCAATGAAACAGCTACGAGCGGTGCTTCGTTGTTTTTCCTAATTAGGATATGTATTGACAGATTGCTGTCAATTTTCTATGTGGAATGGCATTTTCTTGTAGGACACAATAGGAAGGTTGTAGCCTTATAGTTGCCGTAGAGTGGCGTAATATTTGTAACACAACTGTCCCAGATGACGTTTCTGTGACGAACTTTCAAGTGTGGTGCGATGTTTTCGATAATGAAATGTTTTACGTGGTCTAAAGATATATATTACTGTATAATTTGATGAATTCCGTGATTATTTCATTTTTAATTTAAGCTTTGAACACAAATCTTCTAAGTTCATTCATTTTACACCTTACTACGGTTTTAATTTTGTCCATAAGCAAATGTCAAGACAAGAACGTTATGGATTATGTAGTTTTACTCTAACTAACGTTGCTATCACCTACTGTAAAGCTGACATTAAATTGTTGTTTTTCTTTACATACCTGCAGAGGCCTACTTTCTTCAATGCTTACAAAACATTTCTGCATTAAGCTCAAGATTAAGCTTAAGGTTCGAGAGAATTATTTCATCATCAACAGTGCACTCGTTTTCAGTGAGATTATGAACAGTTTGTTTTATCATGTTGTCGTGGCAACTATATAAGTTGTATCTTGTTGGTTCCAGATGGATTTGTAAATAATCCTGTTGAAATTAAAATTAGGAGCGATGAAAAATTATTAGAATAGTTCAAAAAGGTTTTAGATAACCAAAAAAGCCGTAGTTAAGTGAAATACTCTTGACAACCCAAACCCCCTTACAACAAACAAGTTTCAAAGAAGTGAAAGAATTTAAGAGCAAATAAATAATCTGAATTACAATTCTTAAGATATAGAGTTAGTAATTGCAACCACTGAATTACAAAAAAACAATTGACTTTAATACAAATTACAGACAGAGCCGGATAGGCATAAGCGATACATATATAACAGTATAAAAGTAATGACACAACAACAACTGGCTCTCACCGTAGGATCATCTGCAATTGTCTACCTATTGATCTCTGTTGGAGCATTGTCTCATTGGCAATCATAACACATCTTCTTATTTTTACAATTAAAGAATCTGTTAAATTGTAGAGTAGATGTGCTAGCTACTAAGAATGCTTACTGATGGTTTTCATAGTGTTTTCTTTAGTAGTGTATCACAACAAGACTTTAGACATGGGTTGAAAACTGCTTATAGACAGGTGATATATATACAATTCATGATACATACATTTGTCATGAAGATAAATTTAATGTAAAATGGGTAGAGCTGTGAAAATTAAGATTTGGTTGACTAGGTAGGGGTTTTGAATTGGTAGTACGACATCTTTATTCATATCTAGCAAAGAGTTATGCCTTTGGTGTATTTTATATCCTACAATTGATTCAAGGTGAATATGTTTTAAAATTACAAACCATCTAGATTATAATTATAAGTTACAGACAAACTAGACTATAATTATAATCCTTTCATATCTTGTAACTTGTTTTCTAATAATGCCATCATGATATGTCAATGTATTCATCTTAATAGTCAGACACGTTTTGCTTATCCAGCAATAAGCACGACAGCACGATTGTATTAGACAACGGGACTATTAGAAGCAAGCAAATGAACTCTTGTTTAATCATATTTTAAAATTAATGTGTAATGTTATTTTATCTTTTTATTGAGTCTATTGTCGGTATAGAACATACTTTTTTACTTTCTTTTTCCACAAATTGGATATGTGCAAAAGTAATATCATCATTTCATTCTCTCTCTTTTTTTATAATTATATTTTGTACATTTCATTAAAAAAAATAAAATATCTAAATTAAAGATAATCAACGAAAGACACTTTAGAGATCTAAGCTTATTCATGCGCCCTTAGATAGATACAACTTTCAACATAACGTAAAAACCTAAGTAAAAAGTTTGAAAAAAAACATGCTATAATAAGTGAAATTCTACGGAAAAAAAATATAATTGATTTGAAAATACTGTTTTCTTTTATTTTACTGGAAATGAAAATGCAGTTGGCATTACTCAAACGTCATACTAAAAGACATACAACTAATCTGATGTTCTTTTGATTAACATGTCTGAAGTAGATAAATATTCAATAATAACTTTCTCGTAAAACGCGACGTAGGTTTGTCTGGTTAATGGTTAATGCACTAAGAAATGACTACAAATGTAATAGACATATTGATGACAAACTCTATCACACATCGTCAGACTAAATGATCTTTGATGTTTTGCACATCAAATTATATTTACTACAAATTGTTGACTAGATATCGTGGATATTCCTGCACTGGGATAGATAACTGTAACGAAATAAATCTAAAGTCGTTGACTCATTAGAATAGTTGAGTCATTTTGTTCTATAAAATGCATCATGAAATATAAAATACATGATAAAAACTGATGATTTTTTACTCAAGCATACATGTACAGCTGTTTGGTGTACTGGTAACATCTTCCTTGTTGTCCGTGTTGTCTGGTAGATGCTTATCATCAGTTTTTTAGTGTACAGGGGTAAATATTAAAAAAAAAACACTGTTAAATTTCTAATTCTGATTGTTTGGTTTCTCAAACGTTATTTAGTTATATAGACGATGCCATACATGTTAAATATATAATACGATAAAGGCGTATTCAGATCTTTTGCTTTCCCAATTGTTATCGACATTGTTTATCGGTGTTTGTTGTCAAATTTTTATATAAAGACATCAAGAAATCAAAAAGTATGAAATCATTGGTGAAGGAAAAACACTGATTACTTACTACTACATCTTTCATTGTTTACCATCCATTTTCTTACGATGAACTTCTATTGAAATAAAGACAGCAATATGTTTTGATGAATAAGCATTTGCTTAAATCCCACGAGGACTTAACAGTACGTAGATGATATATGACACGTGTCATAAATCAGAGTATAATCTTTGTAATGCAATGATCCCTTTATAATATTAAGTTATAACAGGTGCTTTCACAATATTTATTTGAATACACAGTCATTTTATATATCTTCTTTTTATAGTATATCCGCTATAGATTTAACTTCTTGCGGTTTATATATGTGATATTACATTTACTCCGTCGTTATGGTCTGTATCAATCGGAGAAGACACTGCCTTTAATTTCCTATAGCATGAATATGTTTTACGTCTAATTTGTTTTAATCTGTGTTATGAAACAATTTTTTAATGAATACAACCTAAATTATCTCGTTTTGTTAACCTACTTGTTCCAACATTATATATATTACCTTAAAGAGACACCATTTAGGACTTTTAACCGTATCAGAACCTTTGGATATCGGTCAAAATTAATACCCGGAAAGCCTCAAAGAAAGGGACGAGCAGTATATTTTTTTTAAACTAACTTACATTGTTAAGAAACAAATGCATATCCATGTTGAAAAATGCCACAGAACCCCATACGTTGACCTTGTGCAAAAACTATTGAGTCTTGAAGCTTTTTATTTTAGTCTATGATTTTTCATGATACCTCATGGTAAAATTGGCACAGTATAAGGCTTTAAACGATTTCCTATGGGAAAAAATACATTATATATGTATCTATTATAGATGTTTTTTAGTCTAATATATATATAATATTATTAAATTTAATGTTTCAATACATAAGCGTCGTCGGTTTATATGTCAATTTACTTGAACCAGGGGGAATATAACGAAGTAGATTGCGTGTCATAACGCAAACTTTAACTCGGTAACAAAAACAACAGTAAATCAGTGAAAAACACGATAAAGAAACAAAATAAACAATTAGGTGTGAATCCCCTTTTGGCTTTGGAAATTAAAGACGAACATTTGATAACTTTAGATATAACATAGTTTCATATGTGAATAATTATATTACATGTATGTTTCATAAGAAGCCCTATTTTTGATTGGCTGACAATATTCGAGAGGCTTTCCAAAATTAAATTTATTTCCGAATAAAATCCAGCATTAATGACAGAATATGCTTCCTAAAATATATGTTACGTCACAAACAATGCATAGGAAATTAAAAGAAATATTTGATATAACTCGTAAATTCGTGGTCGTAGCATTTAAATGTTATTATGAGAACTGAATACTTCTTTTTGTAATTTAGAGTGTTGGTAAAAGCGTTGATCGTGCAACAATTTTAATATGAGGCTTTAAAAATGTGCTTCGGTCAACGCTTTTACGTCCACAATAAAATTACAAAAATAAGCATTCAATTCTTATGATTACATTTTTATTCTGTAACCATAACATTACGAGTTTAGCGAGTTATTGCATTTTTCGTTTGCTTTCCTATGCATTGTTGTGACGTCGTTAGAAGTTAACATTTTTAGTTGACAAACCAATATTAAATGTATTAATTGAATTCAAAGCTCATCATCATTATGCTCAGGTCGTTTGTACCTTAACCATTGGATACATATTTATCTTTACCTTTTTCCTTTTATGGAAGGCTCATTTGGTGCATGAAATTAGCTTCATACAATGTAATTTTTCGAACTCTTTGTTCTCTCTTTTTCTTTTCTTTTTCTGTCTCATTTCTATATTTCATCTTTATTTTCAAAGGTGAAGTTTTTATTTAAGTCTTATAAAAATGAAATTCTTATTTATTTTTAATATTGCTGCACAAATATAGTATATTCATTCAAAGGTAAAACAAAAAGTAAGGACATGTATGCATTTGTTTTATACACGTATGCTTTCTTTCCGGTTCTCATGTATTCTCTGAACTTTCTATTATTATCGCTTGTTCAATTTAACCCACTTTGGAGACCCTTTTACATCGTTTTCTGTTTTGTCTTTAATATGAGTTTAGTATATAAGTATTTGAATACTATACAATTCCCTGTTATTGTTTCAGTATGGGAAAAGGCATAATGAAAGTGTTCAAGACGAGCTGTACCATGTTTACCAAGCCAGTGATTGCAGTAATATTGAATGTAAAACGGTATGTTCAGTGCTTGTTTTAATGTATCAATTAGATTTTTCTACAATGTGACTAGACTTAAATGAAATATTAATTTATAACAATTTATAAACAATTTGAGTTTAAAAGTGAAAATATGTTTTGAAATGGTGAGTACTAGACTGAAGTACAAATCAGAGAGATGTGACATACATGCTATTACAACTGCAAGCCTCATGGCAAAAGCGAAAAGAAATAGAAATATAGAGGTCCTGATACGGTCTTCGTTGAGAAAGGTACACACAATACGTCAAAATTATTCGGAGACCATAAATAATTAAGGATAGTAAATCTATTGATAGTTTATGATGTTGTTAATGTCTTGCAGTTAGATCATAAGATATATATAACTACCAATCTACTATTTATGATGAGTAGTCTGATTATCAAATACCATCGCACTTTAGCATGAACAACACGACAGAGGTCATTCGAGGGGTAGGAATTGCTAACCATTCCGGAACATATTTCGGATTTATTTATCAAATTTGTCTAACAACTTGATTAGAACTTAACAGGTTGTATAGACCTTTTTTATTGTTGACGACCGTATGTTGACCTCTAGAAGTCGTTTGTTTGTTTCTGGTTTCTGTTGTTTTACTGTATATAGGTGTTTGCCTCTCACCTCATCTTATAAGGACCCCGTCAATTAAATGACAGAAAACCTATACTACAACACATATGCTTTCTCTAACGTTTAAACTGCTAAGAGTTTGGTTATAAAACTTTTTGTTGGAAATATTTGGTTGATTATTTAGGAAATCACTGAAGCATGACTTGATCGTGCCACCTCATAGGCAGTCAGATCCCCCCCCCCCTTTTTTATGAAAATTTCTGGATCCGCTACTACCCTGTGCATATGTAGAAGAATCAGTCCCGTTCTCTAACTGCCAAACCCTTTAGAGATGAGTAAATTTAATGAAACTTGTTGACATGATTATTCGCCACTACAAGAAGGTGGGTCGCCTTTAAGGATTTAAACTCTTAAAGTGACGATCACGGTCAAAAACTTAGTCATTCTAGTACATATGTAAAAATAATGTTTTTGCCTTAAACACATAAGGAGTAGGGTAATATTTGACATGATTATTCAACACTGCTTAAGGTGCGTCTGGTACATTAAAGAAAACCATTCATAAAAAGTCTTTATCAAAAACTAAGTTCAGCTTTGCCATCGCTGTGCATCTTTACTAAAGTGTTTCAGCCTCAAAACCCAAACCGTTTGAGTTAATGGTGCATCAGACAATTTCTGAATTTAATAGGTATTACTAAGCTATGTTTAAATAAAATTACCCATCACAATTCACTTGTTAACTCAAGCGGGATGTTGTTTGATGAATACCATCGTTATCTTCTAGTTCATAATAAAATCAACAGCAAATGTTCAGTCATGTTGATTTACCGTCTGATTTTATTCCAAAGTTTGTAAGTTTGTTCAAGATTAAAATGGGAAATCGTTCGTTCTGATAAGCACTATAACATGTATAATAGAAGAATGGACATACGATAATAAAGTCGGACATCTGACTAATATTCATTATATAGACTCACAATGTACGCAAACAATATTAGACATGGCAAACAGTAATTTGCTCTGAATAAAAAAAAAATACAGAAAATGCTGACAGTTATTAAAGGAGAATCAACTTAAATTCCTTACTCCTCTTATATGAAGTTTATAATATGTGTATGATGTTATAACATAAATAGGTAATATACTTTATGCTGCTTTAACGTCAACGTACAGACGTAACACTTGATGCTCCTCTTTGCTGCGGCGGGGGCATTAAAATGCTTTTATGTATCAAGAAGTGAAGGTAAACAAGTTTCATTCTCTAAGTTTGGTAAATAATGAGATGTTTCTATTTCATAATTTTTTTTTCTTTCTGTTCGGGCTGAAATAGTTTAAAGCATTATCCTAATGGGTTTTATGATATGAATCAACATTTTTATATCCTATTTTTCTTTTACTTCCGTAATTGGCCAATAAACAATGAATAAAACCAAGCTGGCCTAAACATTACATTTTCTCTGTGGGCAGATAGATTAGTTCGAATATGTCACAAAAACAGAAGAAATAATGCTAGACATAGTGTACGTCCCAAAAATAATTTCCATTCTCTGACTTTAGACTGCCTAAACCAAATGTTATGAAACTTATACACAATACTAATTACCACAAAACACAGATCAAGTTTGAATTTTGTTGCGTCACTTTTACCGTTCTTTAGTTGTGCCTCTTTATAACGTTATATGCAAGCAGGGGCTTCATCTGTGTCCCATGGACACATTCTCCATTTATTCAAAATAAAATCAAAGCTATTTCAAAGGGAGGAAGATATACAATATGGAATAAAATGAGTAATCGGTTTGAATAATATTCAATGACGTAATTGTGAGTTTGGTCATATACCCTACTCAAGATGTCAGATACAAAGAATTACAGTGATATAGTGTTCTGTTTTCTCCTACATTTAATAAGCACACGTAGGACTTAAAGTCACACGCAGCACTTAATGTCATGTATTTAACAGGGACCTCCTGAAAGACAATTAAAAAAATACGATACAGTAATAAATAAGAGTTCAAATGACAACACCAAACGGGGCGTCCAAAACGGTATGAATCAATAACAGCAAGACACAGGGACATACTTAAACCATTGGACAGTACTTCAATCCAAATCGGAGTTTAAATATTCCAAGCAAATAAGGAATTGTAATGTGTTCCTAAATAGTAAGGCCACTCTGATTTACGTCCAACATATTACTGGATGCTTTGAGCAATTAGTCGGTAAAAGTAGGTTGTAAAAAGGGGAAATAAAAACATTTATCAAGAGGGCATTCAAAAAGCATTTGCCACATTAAGACTCAGAAACCATCAAAACCGGAAGGATAAAGACGAACATACAAATGACAGACCACATAACACGAAGCAGAATATTAATTTAATCAATATGAAACCAATTAAAATCTGCGTGTGACTTTAATTCCTGTGTGTGCTTATTAAATGCTTAGGGATCATTAGTTTTTTCTGATTAGTTTTTCGGAGACTTGTGACACCCGTTGTTTTACTTTTATCATAGGAAAGTCACTGCATGAAGCATACACGAACTTTAATAACTAAAATATAAACAGTACATACACATGAAATATAAATAGTACATACACATGGAATATAAATAGTACATACACATGGAATATAAATAGTACATACACATGGAATATAAATAGTACATACACATGGAATATAAGTTAGTTCCACTATTTTTCAAAAAAGACACAACAATCCTTTGTTAACCTACATCTTTAGGTGGTTATTGCTTTTATTTGCTTGTTTGTTTGCTTGTTTGTTTTGCTTATTTGTTTGTTTGTTGTTTTTTTTTTTTTTGCTTTTTTGTGTTTTTTTTTGGGGGGGGGGAGGGGAGGGTCGTTACAGGTGTGTACATTACATGAAGCTGCGATAAAAAAAACACTTTGAAAAAAAAAGTGTTTTTTCATGAACATGCACATTTGGGCAATTTTGCACAACTTGTAGTTTAAAAAATAACACGGTGACTCATGCTTTTTATTATATTTTTGAAAAAAGCATGGAAAAAAAACAACATTCTGACAAAGTATAAGAAAATTCTGTCTGAGGAAATATATACCAATGATCCACCTTAAGATTTAATACATGGGAATTTAGATGAAGAAAGTAATTTTTAGCAATTTATTTTTTTTTGATAATATCATTATTGGTATTAAAAAACAAATTTGAGAATTATTGTCCAAGCTCTACAATTCTTTGCTTATTACATTATTCAATTTCTATTTCAATTTCAAACATTTCAAGTTTTGTCCTGTATGATCATGGCAGATATTCAAAGTTATATTTTTTCCAAATTTTCATTATCTTAAGTATTTCGATCCGATTTGAATACTGCAGCTCTTAGTGGGTCATACATTTCAAATGTTGTCAATTAACTTCAGTAAACATATAAAAATAAGTAGATGTGATATGATTTTCAATGAGACAACTATGATCCATCAAAGTTCAAATGAAGTCGGGTGGATGTAAGCCATTTGTATAAAAATGTATTTTGCAGAAATAAATCCGTAGCAGAACTAAAAATTCAACTAAAATGCATTCGTTTTCTTTTAATGGAAATACAAAAAGCATTCATTGCATAAAATGAGTCGTTCAAAAATAATACATTCTTTCTTTAACGGCGATTCACATCATATATTTGATATTAATATTAAGCAGATCGGACTAACAGTTTTAAATAAAATCTTGTTAGTATTGCAGCGCTTTGAGGTAAATCATAGCACATGCAATTTTAATATAAAAGTAGCGTATTTACTTTTTTTAGTACTAGTTTAAATATCTATACAGATATTTTAAATATTCAGTTCTCCAGTCAAACATAGCGTACAGACCATGACAGATATTAGTAAAATTGAGAATAGAAATGGGGAATGTTTCAAAGAGACAACATCCCGACCAAAGAGCAGAAAACAGCCCAAGGCCACCAATGGGTCTTCAACACAGCGACAAAACCCGCACCCGAAGGCAGGCTTCAGCTGGCCCCTAAACAAAAATGTGTTCTAGTTCAGTGAAAATGGACGTCACAATAAACTCCCAAACATATAAATGAACTAACTTTAAAAAAAAGATATACAAGACTAACAAAGGCCAGAGGCTCCTGGCTTGGGACAGGCGCAAAAAAATGCGACGGGGTTAAACATGTTTTGTGAGATCTCAACCCTCCCCTATACCTCTAGCCAATGTAGAATAAACAAACACACAGCAATACGATCAGTAAACCTCAGTTTAAAAGAAGTCTGAGTCCGATGTCAGAATAGGTAACAGAAGAAACTAAACAAAGTGACCATGATACATAAATAAGCAAAGGACATGCCAGCTCCAGACCCCAATTACACTGATTGAAGGATTATGTCTTCATCATATGCAAATCAAGCACAATCCCTCCCGTTCGG